CCAAGCATTTGCCAAGTTTATCAGCGACTGTTTCAATAAAAGAGAGAATTTCATGAAAAGCAATTTACCAGCTGCCTCAAAATAACACCAAAAAAATATTTATATAATAATATTTTCACAGTATTACTATTTATTTTGATTTTTATTATTATTATTACTTATGTATTTTATTGTTCCTTATATCCTTATTGTATTCTAATCTAGATCCCAGAAGGGATACGATATCAATAAAGGTTATTATTATACATGTTGGTTTGATATTATTTTTTGGTCTTCTTATATATCATTCCAGAACATTTTTGAAGATTTTCCTCCGCGTTTAGCAATATCAGTGGTAAGTCTGAAACAAGTTGATTATTTTCTGGTTAGCCTTTCTGGAAACGTACATTTTTACATCCACATATATTGTGCCCGATAGAAAAAAGAGTCTTAACATCAAGCGTTACAATTCCGCCTATGAATTGAATGTCTGTTTCTCCTTTCTTATAGTTCGTTATATTTTTTTATTTCCCTTTTTGGTTTCAAGTTTGTCTTTTTGTTGTTGAAAATCAACGTTATATCGCAGAGCGCCGCCTGTGTTGACATAATGTGAGGATTTTACACAAGCACCTAGGGGACCTCTTTTATCTTTTTGCCAACATGGCGTCCTGTGCAGACGATTCGGAGGAAGAAAATATTTTGTATGATGTGTTGGTACACGAAGAGTGGCCGCAAGAATCAGAGCTACTGGTAATTTTACTTGACATATCACAATCGTTATTCGGTATTGCTGCTGTTGTATTGCCATCCAAAGGCAAGCTGCCGGCGTTTGTCGACACAGGAAGCAAGTCATATGGATAGCGCCTGTGTATTGACATATGTCCGTGGTGGTAACTGAGGTCTTGTCCAGCTTTGGTCCAGTAATCGCACTGTTATATCCACTAGCATTAGTACCAGCGACAATGTTCCAAATGCCGACATTATACAATGAATGGCCAGCTATGTAGTTTGGTGTGAACAGCATTTAAGTTAAAAATCCAAAATGTTTCAAATAAGACATGTCAATCACACATAGAAAATCTACCTTTGGTAGTAAAAAAATATTCAATATACGACTAGATTTAGTAGGTGGATGTTGTTGTATTGCCATTTTTGTTTTGTCTTATTATTATAGTTAGTTGCATGTCCAGCATCCCTCTACAAAATGACCCATCGTTTCTTTAAATGTACTTAGGAAGTTCTTAGTACAACAAAAAAATAAATTCTCACTATATACTGAAAATAAAAGTTCTCTTAGCAATATAGTGATAAGTACTAATTTCTGTTCATTTGCATTAGAGAGCATATTGCTCTATTTTTTCTATCTTGACATCATTCATTTATTCATTCATTCATTCATTTTATGATGGGGAATGTAGTTTTGTTCCTCTCCATGGTGCACATAAAAGATGGAGTTGTTCTTGTGCAAAGAGTAGTGGTTTCCACACTTATATGATTTAATATGTGTGCTGTCCCCCATTTCTGTAAATGAGACTCAGCCTGTTGACAGAAATGAAAGAACATGTTGTATGAGTGGATGATTTGCATGCTCATTCTGATAAATATTGGATAAATATATTCCTTATTAAATACCTTTGTCAAAAATACGCTCAAATTTTCAGCAAATTGTTCATTCAATAAAATGCATATCAAATCAAATCAATTCAAACTGTCAACAGTCTAGCAGTATCAACAAATCAAACATATTTATTACCTACTGTAAATAATACTTTTAATGTCCCTCAATTTTCATCAATTACAATTCAATTGAAATATTTTCAAATTTTATCTCTGCAGCTACGCTGTAGGAATAAATTCTAGGCAAAACTAGTTGAGAAGTTTAGTAACATTCAACTAGAAAACTTTCTTGAAGTTCTAATTTTCCCACATGAAATTTAACATTCCTTCCCTATTCACAGGTTAAAGCAATCAAGGAGCGCCCAAGGGGTTCTGTGGTTGGAAGGTTTGCATCTGTCGCAGAACGTAAGTATGATAACACTGACAATAATTACATCAACAAATAAATGTTTTTGGAGGAGGCTAAATTTCATACAGATAGTGTGAAACATGTAAACACAGAAAAAACTATCATATTGTCCTTTTTGCATACATGGTCTGTTACAATCTATGGTCAAAACAGATAGTGTGAAACATGTAAACACAGAAAAAACTATCATATTGTCCTTTTTGCATACATGGTCTGTTACAATCTATGGTCAAAACAGATAGTGTGAAACATGTAAACACAGAAAAAACTATCATATTGTCCTTTTTGCATACATGGTCTGTTACAATCTATGGTCAAAACAGATAGTGTGAAACATGTAAACACAGAAAAAACTATCATATTGTCCTTTTTGCATACATGGTCTGTTACAATCTATGGTCAAAACAGATAGTGTGAAACATGTAAACACAGAAAAAAACTCATATTGTCCTTTTTGCATACATGGTCTGTTACAATCTATGGTCAAAACAGATAGTGTGAAACATGTAAACACAGAAAAAACTATCATATTGTCCTTTTTGCATACATGGTCTGTTACAATCTATGGTCAAAACAGATAGTGTGAAACATGTAAACACAGAAAAAACTATCATATTGTCCTTTTTGCATACATGGTCTGTTACAATCTATGGTCAAAACAGATAGTGTGAAACATGTAAACACAGAAAAAACTATCATATTGTCTTTTTTGCATACATGGTCTGTTACAATCTATGGTCAAAACAGATAGTGTGAAACATGTAAACTAAACACAGAAAAAACTATCATATTGTCTTTTTTGCATACATGGTCTGTTACAATCTATGGTCAAAACAGATAGTGTGAAACATGTAAACTAAACACAGAAAAAACTATCATATTGTTTTTTTTGCATACATGGTCTGTTACAATCTATGGTCAAAACAGATAGTGTGAGACATGTAAACTAAACACAGAAAAAACTATCATATTGTCCTTTTTGTATACTAGTACATGGTCTGTTACAATCTATGGTCAAAATATGTGATACTTTAATGATTCAGTATACAACAAATACAATTATTGGTTCATATGCACTATTAGACATTCATTTTTAATGGAGCAAATATTGTACAGTTTAATAATTCTTGTTAATAAGTAACATTAAGGTGGTTTAATTGAGAGGAAAAAAAAAGCAAAATTCAGATGTTTCATTTAATAGAAGTACATGTATTATATGGACAAATAGTGTTTTTAAACTTCTGCCTAGCTGCATACTAGGAATATTTACTGGAGATTGACAATATACATTCAGAAATTGCATTAAATTTATTTTTTCCTTGTTGATGATTGGCAGCTGTTCATCCAAAACATCTGACACCAGTAAATATGCAGACACTTGTAAAACTTGTAATACTTTTTCAAAATATTTGCACCTCAGGTGAAATATACTTGGTGAGTCAAAAACATTGTTCGAAGGTAATTTAAAAACGCAAAAAGAGCAAAAAATATTGTATAAAATGAGCAAATGTTGAATTGTAGATTAGGGTTCTCCTACTGTAGGGCTTTCATAAAAGGGCTGCTTTACATGTGACTATTTGTACTAGACATAATGATTTGTTATTATACCTTATACCTAGAGTTTTCAAATAGCTGTAACTCTGAGAACTCCTAACTCATGTCTCGGCCTTTTTGTCATCAAGACTTGCTAAATACATTGTCTACTTGCACAGTTGCGTGTCTGTTTCATTCTTTCTCTTCACAAACAGACACTAGGCTGGAAATTTATTTATACCTTGACAATATATAAAAGCTACTACAATTCCTGATACATTTCTATAGTTTATGGTTACTGATGACGAATTTTGTTGATATTCTAGTCATGCATAAATGTTTTTAATATTTCTAGGTTCATTATGGACATTTGTACGAAGTGTTGGCTATCCATTAAGGTAATTGTACTACAAGTAATGGTGCTAGACATGTCTGTATAAATGACGTTTGTGAATGTCACCAAGACCCCTTCAAGGATGGATGTAACAATTTTAATACTACAAATTTTTGACATTTTGCTAAGTGAGAGGTTTCATAAAAAAAATGACAATTTGGGAGGGGGTACCATTACTTGTTTTTGTGGAAACAATGACTTTGTGATTTCTTTATAGCGTTTAAATTCTGAAGCTATTTTGAAATTGAAAAATGTCTAAAATACATACAATTGTGGGGTTCATAATCTTAAAACTACCGTGGTAGTATCACTATGGTTACCCCTAAGTTATTCAGAATTTAAAACAGCCAATTACAAATAATAATTTTACAATGTTACAGGTAATACCTGTTCCACAAGTGTTGTAGTATTTCAACCATTCTTAAGTATCCAGTTAAATCTTCACTCCTACAAAATTTTGTGATTTCAAATTAATGAAGAAAATTCACACATTAATGGTTTTCTCCTGATTCTGAATCAAAGTACATAATTTCAAGTTTTGAAATACCAGTATGTCCTTTTAAAATTTCATGAAATGATGATGGTGGCCAGCACATGTATGTTTATGTCAATTATTATGTAACTATTTTATTACTCTATTATGATAATTTGTTTCAGATCTACTACGTCATGTACCTTACCAAATGGTCTTGTACAGCTGGTTAATAATCAGATTAATTGGCAAATTGCTGTATCAAGGTAAACATACTAAGAATTTACACGGCTCAGTACAAAAATGATTGCTATTCTGGAACTGGATCTTGGTCATGTATTATGTTTGAATATTGAACATAATTTGACCATAATGTCCTTCTTAGTCCTTTCCTTGTTTTTTTAGTATGGATAAAGTATGATAACTGCATCTATCTGCATCTGCATTTCAGACATTTCTTAGCCAAACTTTACACATCATGCATCTTGGGATGCATAATATGCATATGCAATAGTTTCATGATAAGATTCATGATGGTTGATTGACTGGCATCTATTTTTAAGCTAAAAATTCATTAAAATTAAGTATTTCTTCCATTTTAGAACCAGATCTTAATCATGTATGTGCCGATTTTGTTTGTACAGTACAACATAATGAGATTTGATGTATGTCATTTTATTTTGCAGATTGTATTTAACATTGCATCTATTGATAACCAGCCAATTAAAGTTCTCTTTCAAAATGGTTAACATATTTTAGATTTGTTTACTATTGCACAATAAACTTTTTTGAAAATTTGGCCAGTTTAAATGTGCAAAGTTTATTTTACGGCAGGTAACTAAGTTATTAGTTGGGAGGAGGAGGGTGAATGTTTATTTCTCTGCTCCAGGAAGCAAAATTAAATTAAACAAAATAGCAGGAAGGAATTCCTTATTTTACTATTGTACTACTGTTTAAGGGTGGATAATTTTGTGATTATGAGAATAATATATGTAATATTGTATTTATATTGCAGTGACAGCAGACTGATTGCCATTCTACAAGATACTTGTATTGAAATCAGATCTCACAGAGATGAATATGCATCTATTGTTGGCAAGTGTACAGGTGAGGTGATTATTCATTTTACAAAATATATAAAGTCATATAGTTATTCAAAATTACTGACTTGACTTTAAATTCAATCATAGGGCCTTCCACATGTTATAGATTTCACAATGACATGTTAATTTTAGATATTTTCAATGTCTGTCATATGCTTGTCAGTTCCTTTTTTTGTCAGCAACTGATTTTGTTTTTTTCTGTAACAAGTTTCAGTTTGTAAGGACCCTTATCCACAGTGGAGGAAGGTTACCTGGAATAGAGACTCTACTATGATTGGCTTTTCAGACAGTTCAGGGAATGTACAAGTCTTTGATGTTGTAGGCAGTCTTCTCTGCACTATTCCAAAAGTAAGTTTTAATTTGCTATCTTTCTAAAAGTGTCTTGATATTGTGTTGTTCTTGGAAATCAGTCATTTGTGAGACTGTTGCTATAGTTTTTGCAAATTAAATAGTGTCCTTGTCTAATATCTTTTGGAGATATCTTAAAATGTATTAAATCCAATATGCCTAAAATTACTGTAAGACGCTTTAATTTTCGCAGAATATTATTTTCGTGAATGCCATAAAATCATGAAAATTTTAGCAATGACAATTGAGCAGTTTACAGTGTAATTTGACATGCTTTATGTGTTTATATGTTTTCCCTGTTTTATGAACATTTCATAAACTTTTCAAATACAATCTGAATGCCTTAAATCCAGTACAAAATTTAAGCTGGTAATAAAAATCTGCCTCTAACTGTATATATACCCAAAAGTTTGTAATTGGAAATAATAGACTATTAAACACAAAAAATTGCTAGTCACAGATGCTGAATTCATCAAATATGTCATTTTTTATATATTGTAGGATGAAACTTACATGCATACTGTTCCACTAGATATCAATGTACCCATCGATTTGAGCTGTGCTATAGCTAGCTTAATATTTGTAGAATACAAACCTAATCAACAATGGTAAGTATGGCTTATGAATCTTACATGCATACTGTTCCACTAGATATCAAATGTATCCATAGATTTGAGATGTGCTATAGCTAGCTTAATATTTGTAGAATACAAACCTAATTAACAATGGTAAGTATGACTTATGAATCTTACATGCATACTGTTCCACTAGATATCAATGTACCCATAGATTTGAGCAGGGCTATAGCTAGCTTAATATTTGTAGAATACAGACCTAATTCCTGTGTCACATGTTAGCAGTGCAGATTATAACAAGACTCCCTTTTCTATCAACATTGTTTTCAGGTCAGCAAAGTTGTTAGTTATAAACTATCAAGGCTTCCTTAGAAGTTATTTTGTTAGGTATGTTCATTTACAATCATTTAACTACATGTAACCATTACATGTAACCATGACATGTAACCATTACATGTAACTGTTACATTACCGTTCCATCCAATTTTTGTTTGAATGTGAACTTCAAAGTATGCTGTGGATATTTATACTTCACTATTATTTATTTTTACTAAAATTAATCTACTTGTTCAATTTTTTTTTTTTTACAAATTAATGAGTTAGATGAAAATGTATTGAGATCATATATATATATTCAATATTTCCTTTCTTTTTTCTATCCAGTGAAATGCATTGTATCTAAATTCATTTCTAACTGAAAATTATTGCTCAGTGTTAAGAGTTGCACGTATTATCTTGGCATACTATTGTATATTATATGTATGTTTTAAATTTATTTCAGTCCTACAGGCGGATCTGAGAGAAGTCACACATTTTTGTTTACCCATCTCTATCCACGAGGTGTGTGTTCTGTTGTGTATAACCAGAAACATGCGATGTTGATTGTTGGTGG